CCCTCCGTGCATGTCAACGCCCCTCTCTCTTCCTCTCTCTCTCTCTCTCTCTCTCTCTCTCTCTCTCTCTGTGAGAAAGCGGGAAGATTCATTCCCGCTTTGCGTTTCCGTAGCCGTTCGAGAAACACAAGCGGAAATGAACCCATTCGTTTTTTTGTTTTTTTTTTCGTTTTTTTCCCCGTTCTTTACGTTCGTTTCATTCCATCGTTCGGGATGCCTGCGCCCGGTTGGCCGAGGCTCGGACTTGATAGCTAAGCCAAGTACTGGTTTTAAAGTCATAGACCAAGCAGGAAGCACATTACGCCGAGATACAAGCCAAATAAGAGCAATACAATGAAATCAAATGTCAATGTCGACAGTCAATGTCGACACTCTCTCGCCACATAGTAGACAATGTCCTTTCTGTCCACTGGCGCTCACCACCCTAATCAGCAACTACTCTAGCCTACACAGTGCGCATCCCCGATCCTTGATTGCCAGCAAACACCAGGTACGTGTCTCTCTCTGCTCTCCCATCAGCCCTTGACTTCCCACAGTGCGCATCCCCGATCCTTTGCCAGCAAACACCAGGTATGTGTGTCTCTCTGCTCTCCCATCGGCCCTTGACTTCCCACAATGCGCATCCGCGACAACCAAAGGACCACCATCAGCCTCACCAGCCCCAAATGTGGTATAGGTCTATAACCGAACTGTGGTAAAAGCCCGAGCGACTGTGATAACGGCGAGTAGCTTCATGTTGGGCCAATGTGTTTTCATGCAGGCCCAATTCAGATAGGTGCTTGGCCCAAAATTCACGAACTAATGTGTCAGTTAAGAGAGGATTGATAGGAACTGAGCCCCCGGTTCTCTAGACTCCGGTCCTATCGACCCTCTCCCAACTGACACATTAGTTCGTGAATTCTGGCATAAAGGACTTTAAACATTTCAGTATTCTTTAGAGGACCACATACCATTTCCAAGCACAGGAGAAGCGAAGGCGTGCGGGCAGGGAGCAAGCCACAAAGGCTGGACGACCAAGTGAAGGCATGTGGGCATACAAACAGCCATAGGCAGCAAAGGAAAAGGGAATAGCCAGAAAGCGGCAAGGTAAAGAAACAACAAATTCAAGGCAGAGAAAAAGAAGAAGTACCAGAAAAGAAAGAGTTAAACATGACAACAGACCTGACTCTCTTTCTCTCTTTCTCTCATCTGAGTATTGCATTCGTTCTCAACCTACAAGCTAATCTATTCTGCTCTACCTTCAAGATGCTACAGTGAACAGATGAAAATAGCAAACTACATGCCCGTCAACCTAACAACTGATGTGGGGTTAAAAACCCTACTTAGTGAATGTGCACAACAGCCTGTGACCACGTGGCCCGGTATAGCCCTATATGGTTCCCTGAACCTGGACGACGAAATATTATGACGGAATGCAGACAAACAGGCAACTGAGATGGGGCTTATAGCCCTATATCATAAATGCGCGCATTAGCCTGTGACTGTAGCTCCGTATAGCCCTATATGGTTCTTTCCGCGTGGGCAAAAATGCGCCAGAACTATTTTCCACCGCGTGTCCGACCAGTCCGGGGAAGACCGACCACGACGTTTGCGCGGGCGCTTACGACCTCCTCGCCACCAACCTTCGCCCTCGTGCGTCTCTTCCCGGTGGCAGTGGCTCTACTGGACTCTGGGATCTGTGCCGCTTAATCCTTTTCAGGATTGTCAGTCTGCCCCGATGCCTGTTGGATCTCGCAAGTCTCTAAAGTGACAGCCCGACGATGAGACAACTCGCCTTCCTCACGTGTACTCTCCAACTCCGCCAACCTTCACTTTTTCGTTGTCTGCGGACCCTCTCGCCCTTTGGCAGTTGCTGCAGAAGGTACGACAGAGCCACCTGCAGGCAATACTATGAGAGCAGTTGCCAGCGCAGGGTCACGGGCTTGTGCCACGTCTGCTGCACCGGTCATTTGGTGCTCCGCTGCAGGCCCTGTTGCATCTTCGGCCCTGGTGCTCTCTCCTGCAGTCACGGTTTGTCCAGCGCCTGTCGGCACTGAGGCCTCCTCACCCGGTCCTTCTTCAATGAGCGTCCCCTTCTCCCCCGACCCTTGTTCTGCTAACACCTCAGTCTCCTGATCGGGTTGGGGTCCCTTCGACTTTTTCCTCGCCTCCTTTGGGGTTTCTCTCTCAATCGTGGCGCCGATGTCGGTCAGAAGCCTCATGCCAATCCCCTTCGCGCAACGTTTGTCAATCTCCACGACGAGGCAATTTCGATTTGCTTTGACGCTGGCAATGACACCTGTACCCGATCCAGAAAAGCCGTCCAAAACTAAGGCACCAGCAGGTGAAAACTTGTTCACCAACCACAAGTACAATGCAAAGGACTTCTGATACGGGCACAACACTGCCAGATCGCTGGGGTAAACGTATTTATTTGTGACCGCGTTGAAAAGCTGAAAATTGTGACGCGGGTCGGTGGGGGCGAAATTGTAATGGGCCATTTCGCGTTCGCCGCTCTCACTATAGTACCCCAAGACGCAGAACTCCGTCGCGCTGACATAGCGAGGACCTCCCGGATTCGTCACATTAGGTTTGCACCAAGTCAGCAGTTTCTAGCCTGCATTGCAAACCTTTTGAAATTCAGATCGAATCGATGGGAGCATGTCTACAGAACACAAGCCTGCGACCGTCCACAAGGGAGCACTGGAAACGCCCTTGACGTTCTGCAGCACCTCAACAACATCTGTCTCTGCGAATGACTCCGTGTCCCGTGCATGGCCTTTGTGCGCAAACCCGTAGGGAAAGTCGAAAATGGCGAGCGATATCAGAAGCTTTTCCTTCTGCAGCGTTAACAGATGGCGCATGTCACCCCAAATTATCTTGACTTCCCCTGCATCCCCCTCGTTTTTCACCTCTGTCCAATCAGCAAAAGGCTCCGACAGAGGTTGCGCTTGAAACGCCAGAAGACTGACTCTTTGTGCCTCCTTGGCCATTAATCTCTCCTCCTTCTTTCTCCACTCCTTTGCTCGTACGATGTGGTCCTTCAGAGCAGTAGAAGTACTCCCACGCTTCCCGAAGCTGCCAATGTACTTCTCTAGGACTTCCTTCTTGGTGTCAAAGGATATTTCTGCTCCGCCTCCTTGAACTCTTTGCAGCCGACACCATCTGCAAAGGCCTTGCAGACATAGTTCAATTTCTTGACCACCCTGAATTTCTGCTCCATTTCTTTGATGGAGATGGTCTTCGAAATGACTTCGAGAAGAATGGGAACATCATTCTCAGGAGCCACGTTACCCATGGTGATCCACGGCTGGGCAGGCATGTCCTCAGGCACAAGGACAACTTTATTGTCCTTGAACTGGACCCGAGGATTCAGAAGCGCCATCTCTTGTAGCTTAGCAGTTGCCCTGTCAAGCCTCGTCCCTCGTTGACTTCTCTTCCCACCCTCAGATTCACTTGATTCAGGGCCATCTTCATGTTTGATATGACTCTTTGCCGAGGGCTTCAACTTCTGACCCTTCACCTCCCCTCTTTGCCACATGTTGAAAATCCGCAGTTGCAAGTCCCAAATTTCTTTTGGCCGCATTGCAACCTGCAGTAGAGGATCATTGTTCCCCAACTTCAATGAAGGGTTTGGAACACATGGTTCCCGAAGGCACGGCAACTTCACCTCCTGCGATTTAACAGACCCTTTGCTTTCAAAGACTTGCCGCCAGCACTTCATCTTCTCGATGAAGTTTATGTCACGATGGTAGCCGGTGGCGAGGTTATGCATGTGAGTGACCTGCCCTGCCTCATCCACCGTCAAGCCTGCATAAACGTAGCAGACGTTGAACTTGTACTCTTCGTTGTCAGGGTACATCGCCATGAGACGCTCCCTTGCCTCCCGACAATGGTCACCGCCAAGAATAAAAACAAGGTACTTTCCTGCCCTCAGCTTGTTCAAATCTACGGCTCGTTTGTCCTTTGCCTCCTTAGGGTCCACAAGACCGACGAATGGAAGATGATCTCCAACTGGTTGCCTGATCATGGAATCCATGAGCAAACTGATATGATCCTCGTCAGACTCTCTCACCTCTAATGGTCTTTTCCCTTTGGCATCCAAAGGTGGTCTTTCCATGCAACTCATCGACAGATAGAAGGACTCGTTGGATATTTTCTTAGCGTTCAAGCTTTTCAGCTCCTCCCAAACTTTGGTCAATTCCTGCGTCTGTTCTCCAGGCACAAAACCCTGAGGCACTTGGATTTCTTCTTGCTTGTCTTTCGCCTTCTCCTTCCCCTTTACAGATGTGGTTTTCGCTTTTTCACTCCCTTTCGAAGGTGTCGGGGCCTTTGCGAGAGCCTTTTGCTTCGGAGGCTTGGCCTTTGTCCCGGATCCACGTTCCAAAACGCCAGTCGAGGCGACGCAAGTCTGAGGCGAAACGACGTTCTGCGGACGCATCTGCTGCCCTTTGGAGGGGATCTTCTTCGATGCCGAAGGCGTTTTCATTATGAGATTGTCGAACGCTTCTTTGAAAGGAAGAACATGATCCTCAATGGAGGGCGCCAAGTGATTCCCGAGCGCTTCGATGAATGGCTGCGCACAGACAGAACCATGCCCACATCATCAAACACCGAAGGTACAACATACAAGACTCCCGATGCAGCAACAGGATTTGGGACTGTATCCTGCTGCAGCATGTCACAACCCTAAATCCTGCGACAGCAAGTTATAGCCCTATATGCTGCTGCTGCAGGATATAGCAATATAACTTGCCGCAAGCGGATTAAGGACTGAATTGCGTAGCAGCAGTTCACAGTCCCAAATGCTCTGCAGTTACAACATATAGGCCTCTACGTTGCCGCAACAGGATTTAGGACTTTATCACGCTGCAGCAGGCTACAACCTTGAATCCTACGAGAGCAGGTCTCCCGATGCAGGAACAAGATTTGGGACTGTATCCTGCTGCAGCATGTCACGACCCTAAATCCTGCGACAACAAGTTATAGCCCTATATGCTGCTGCTGCAGGATATAGCACTTCAACTTGCCGCAGCAGGATTGAGGACTGAAACGCGTAGCAGCAGTTTACAGTCCCAAATGCTCTGCAGTTACAACATATAGGCCTATATATGTTGCCGCAACAAGATTTAGGACTTTATCACGCTGCATCAGGCTACAGCCTTTATCCTGCGAGAGCAGGTCTCCCGATGCAGCAACAGGATTTGGGGCTGTATCCTGCTGCAGCATGTCATGGCCCCAAATCCTGCGACAGGAAGTTATAACCCTATACGCTACTGCTGCAGGATATAGCACTGTTACTTGCCGCAGTAGGACTCAGGACTGCGTAGCAGCAGTTTACAGTCCCAAATGCTCTGCAGTTACAACATATAGGCCCATATGTTGCCGAAACAGGATTTAGGACTTTATCACGCTGCAGCAGGCTACAGCCTTGAATCGTGCGAGAGCAGGTCTTCCGATGCAGCAATATGATTTGGGACTGTATCCTGCTGCAGCATGTCACGTCCCTAAATCCTGCGACAGCAAGTTATAGCCCTATATGCTGCTGTTGCAGGATATACCACTATAACTTGCTGCAACAGGATTCAGGACTAAAACATACTCCAACAACTACTACTATCACTGTACATAACACTGTACCGCTACTACTACTACTACTACTACTGCTACTATTGTACTGGTACTTCTATTCCTGCTACCGCTACTACGACTACTACTGTGCTGCTACTCGTGCTACTCCTGCTACCGCTACTACTACTATTGTACTGGCACTGCTACCACTACTACTGCTTTAGTGGTGTCGCTGCTACTTCGACTGGTGCTACTGTTGTAGTACTACCGCTACTACTATTACTGCTACTGCAGTCGTTGTGCTGTTGTTACTACTACTGCTGCTACTGCTGTAGTATTACCGCTTCTACTACTACTGCTGCTACTGCTGCTCCTGCTACCGCTGCCGCTACTGATATTGATACTACTGGTACTGCTACTACTGGTAGCAGTAGTAGTAGCAGCAGCAGTACTAGTAGCAGCAGTAGCAGCAGCAGTAGTTGCAGTGCCAGCAGCGGTACTAGTGCTGGTAGTGCTGCTTCTACTGCTACTACCGCTACTTCTACTACTGCTACCGCTATTACTGCCACTGTACTGGTACTACTACTGTACTGGTACTCCTGCTACTCCTGCTACCACTGTACTGGTACTACTACTGTACTGATATTCCTGCTACTCCGGCTACCGCTACTACCACTACTACTACGACTACTACTACTACTGTACTGGTACTACTACTACTGTGCTGCTACTCCTGCTACTCCTGCTACCGCTACTATTAGTACTGTACTGGTACTACTACTCCTACTGTTGCTACTGTTGTAGTGGTACTACTGCTACTACTACTGCTACTGCTGTGGTGGTACTGCTGCTACTACTGCTACTGCTACAGCTGTACTGGCACTGCTGTTACTACTACTGCTGCTACTGCTGCTCCGGCTACCGTTGCTGCTTCTGGTACTGCTACTACTGGTAGCAGCAGCAGTAGCAGCAGAAGCAGCAGCAGTAGCAGCAATAGTAGTGGCAGCAGCAGTGGCAGCAACAGTAGTTGCAGTACCAGCAGCGGTGCTACTGCTGGTACTGCTGCTTCTACTGCTTGTATTGCTGCTTTTACTGCTACTGCTGCTGCTGCTTCCACAACAGTTGCTACTGGAAGTGGAACTGCTGCTGGTGCTGCTGCTACCGCTGCTGCTACTGGTACTGGGACTACTGGTAGCGGCAACAGTAGCAGCAGCAACAACGGTAGCAGCTGCAGCTTTAGTTGCAGTACCAGCAGCGGTACTCCCTTTGCTAGCAGTAGTAGTACCAGCAGCGGTACTCCCATTGTAGCAGAACTAGCAGTCGCAAACGATGTTGAGGTACTGC